ATTGTCCAGCCCATCCACTCAGGGATTTATTCCCCCAGGAACAAAGCTGGTGAGCTGTTCCACAGCATTTCCTCAAGCATGAGAAGTTCAGTTTATTCTGTATCAATAGTACAWCCAAGAGGCAGAGATAACTGTGGATAATCTTCCCTGGCCTTCACAGGAGGTGAACAATCCATACCAAAGGGGAATCACAAAGCCCCACTGGTGCCCAGACCCCACTCACAGACCCGTGGGAAGGACAGTGAGACCTTGAGCATCCCTCCTGCACCCAGAGACCTGTGGATTCCAACTGTACCTGCTCCTAGCTCAGCTCTGTGAGGTGAGGGACGACTCCTCATTCACCTCGTCCTGATCTGCAAGGAATGACCAACACCCTCTACAGCCTCTACAACAAAATAAAAATAGCTGTCCCAACGATTTTTACCTGTCCTTTCCAGCAGGGAATTGAGTGCAGCTGTCACAGCTGATTTTGCAGGAGTTCTCTTTGGCCACAAAGCTTGGTGGCTTCTACCCCTGGTCATCCCCATGGAAATCGAGCCAGCACTCAGACACCACGGATGTGGTGGGACATGGGACAGGACTGGCAGCCTGATTCCTCTGWTTATCTCAGCGAATCACTAATCATTCCTTCAGCTCTTGAAGCTYTTATTAACAGTAAACATGAATAAATTGCACTGTCCTCATGTAGATAATGTTTAATGAAGTTACAACCTGTGCCTCTTTACCATAAATTCATCTCCTTTATGAAAGCTTGGTGGGCCAGCACTGAATATTTTTAATCCTGTGCAATTTTTCTGTGATTTCCATTTCAGTCAGAGCAATGTGGAATTGGCTTTCATTATGCCAATTGCCAGATGCCTTTTTCCTCATTCAACCTATGGCTCTKCTGAAGGAAACTACTGTTAAAACTTGATTGACATTTATTTAATTGCTTTCTGAGCAATTTGTAAGCCATACAACAGCACAGAGGTCAAGATGAGAAAATCTTTGGGTTTTACAGACATTTYAGAGTGTTATCATTAGATAAGACCTTGAGACATCTGCATGTTATTTAATGGTTGTTCTGCTTTCCTGGATAATGACCTATTTCTTACAGAAGAGCTAATACCTATAAATTTCTCCTTTGCTGTCTGGARTTTTTAATAAAAACTAAGAGATTTGAATTCGGTGTGTTTCATATAACAAATTATTACTGCAAAGATTTTTTAAAATCTATTTCAAAATGGTCATTTACACAGAAAAAATTGCCTGTTTTTTATCTCTCACAAAAAAAAAAAAAAACAAACCCAGATGGATGAGAGATACTGTTAAATGCATAAAACCTTTTCAGTTTTGTCATGTTTTTGATCCTGCTCATTATGAGTAACCCTGAAACCTGTGTCACTAAACATAAAAAAAATTTAAAAATAAAATCCCATCTTGTTTGAGGCACTTTCACACCAGGAAGTAAGATTCTGTGTGCACATCACATATTCCAGCTGTCAGAGCAGGCCTCTTATTTTAAGTGATTTAAGATTATGGATCAGAGGCCACTGGCTTCCCCTTAGGTAATAATAATAAATATGCTAATGCTTTTAGTGTCATTGTTAATTCCTTGTTTGTGAGCACTCAGAAAGCACCRTGGTCTGAGGATGGGATTTGAAGATGAGCTGTTCCCAGGAGATCAGGGAAGCCAAAATTATGAGTTTAAAGCACCATCAGTGTGGGACACCAAGTCCTCTTCCACACACAAGGAAAACAYACTGGGGCTTTAAATTCTGTTTAGGACATCTTGCTACACAGGCAACAAGGGCTAAATCTTCACTTAAACTCCTCCACTCTAAATTCCACTTTGCCTTCAGTTCTCTATTATGCCTACATATAATAAATGTATTATAACATGTAAGGACTCATCCTTAGTTTTAGCCAAAATCTTTGGGACTACACACTGAGTGTATTATTCAGGGATAAATATTTGAGACAAAAAATCAACACATGTGAAGTGGTTGTAATTTCAATCAAATTCTTAACTTATATTTTATTTTCAAGCATATTAATTTAAAATCTTTAGTTATCAAAGAAACACATGCATGTGTTTGCTGTTGCTCCATCATGCTAGGATCATCCAACACCATAGGAACTTACTGTAACACTTAAATTACAAAAAAACCTCTTCTTGATCTTGAAATTTGGGTTTCAAAACAAAGCCATTTCAATGTGCTGAGTCACTGAAATGTATTATAAATTTGGGGCAAATGATGTTGCAAAACATACTCCAGTGTGACAATGGAGATATATTTGGAATAATTTAGGATGTAATAGTGTATATTATGTTGAAAAAYATCCTTGGATGATGGAAACTGTCTGATCTGTCTGATGGGAAATGAAAAGCTGAAATTCCTCAGTAATTATCCTGTGTTGTGAGCACACGTGTTTTGCAGGATAATAAGAAGCTTAATGAAAAGTTAATAAAAATTAAGAAAAACGGGAAATCATGTGATGCAAATACATCCTCACAACAGACTGCTCAGAATGTCATTACTGGAACTTTGAAAAAAGACACTGGTAGAAATCTCTAAGGCCAGTCCAGGCTGTCAGACAAAGCAGGGCAGAGAAGAAATCCACAACTTGGAACAATGACCTCCTCTTCCAAACTGGAGCAGTGTCTGGACTCAGCTTAGTCCCTTAACCCCTCTSCATCCACAACAACCAATCTGACCTGGCACTGGGTACCCTGGAGCTCCCATCCTGCTGCTCCAGGTTTGGGGCAGATGGATGCAATTGAAGTGCAGAGGGTCTTACAGCAAGGCTTGGAGGGGTAATGAAGGAGCTGAGACCAGAGAAATCATCCACCCTAGATGAGCAATCTTTGGGGCTGTGCCTCTGCTTCCATGATTTTTCAGCTGGAATTTACACCACTTTCTTATTTATTTGGGTGAAGCACATCTAAACACCTTCCTGAGTGGAGATCAAAGCAAGAAGATTGGCTATGACACAGCTTTCCAAGCTTTTGCTAAAGCCAAGGTTTTTGCAGCAGAAAGCAAACTGCCCAATCCTTCCCTCATACAGATCCTGGGATGCTCTGTGCAGGCACCACAGGCTGCTGGAGCTGTTGCTTTTGCAGACTTGCAGGCTGTAAGGGACACAAAACACCAAAAATATCCAACCCAGTGCTCAAGTTCTTATATATTTTTCTTGTCTCTGCTCTTCCCTCTTTTCTGGGAAGCTCGAGTAGCTGCAACTACTGATGTCCAGATGCAGAGGTTCCTGAAATYCTTCCTCTGTTTAAAATTGGTTTTCAATCCAGGCCCATGTTTAGGCAAGTCTTCACCAAGGGAAAATTGTTAGAAACCTTGGTGACAGATTTTACAGGTATATAAATTATCCAGCTAAGCAGCCACTCCATCTTACAGACCAGAGAATAATGCTTGCCATGAGCTGGAGATTACGGCTCTAACTGCATTTTTATAATCTATAAAACCGGACATGCGGAAACTATGGTAGGAAATTTCAGTAATTAAAGCACAGGTTTTCCTAATTAACTGCAAAGCATCATTAAAATCGAATGAAACTGTAGTGGAGTAACACAGGACTCTGGCTTAACTGCAAGGAGATAAATGCAAATGAAAGTTGAATCCTCATGTAGTTTGAAGTTTATACAATAGGGCTGAATGCATTTACAGGCAGTTTAGAATATAAAAGCTCACTTTTAACATGTGTGAATCAGGATTAGGAAGTTAGGTTATTAGTGTATAAGAGGTTAACATATTAAAGAATGTGGCACACTGAAGCACAAGAATCAAAGAAACAAAAATTTTTGCTACTTAAAGTAGTTGTATTGGTGATGGGAAAGCAAATTTCACAGCAGATGACAAATAAGAGAACTGCTGCTGCACCAGCATGATGTAAGACTAAATTTTTCAGTGTAGMGACTTTATAGTATACCTGAACAATCTACACCACCATCCCATATTGCAGCACAGATTCAACTGAAGAAAGAACTTTGAAGCTCTTCAAGCACTTTTCAAGATATTAAGTCTGTCATGACTTTGTGAAGGTAGAAATCATGGACACTGGAGCTTTAATGGTTAATTTAAGCTGATGTGTCCAAGGTCCTCAGAAGCCACAGGAGCACTGCTGATCTTTGCTGAGCAAAAATTTGTATTTAAAAGTGTTTTATCTTGCCTTACATTCAGAGCATTGCAGGTAGAACACATCCCCTTTCCCCACACCCTCCCCCATCTGACTTCAGCTCTCTGAAATATCCAAGGCTGCACAGACTCACTACACAAAAAAATGCAGACAGAGGTCTTGAGAACAATTCATGAGGTCAGTCCTGGCACATGATGAATCCCTCTCCAAAGATAAAGACCTTCCTTAATCAGCTTTTGAAGAAACCTAAATGACCAGACCCTTACCCTTCTGAGGGCAGAAGTCCTGCAGGAATTCCACCCTGCTCGGATGCCAACAGTATCACATTYTCTGAGCCTCGCTGCCAAAGGCCTGAAGTGCCAGTCCAGAGATCTGAGATTGAGGAGATCAATCTCTGCTGCCATTAAATCCTATACTAATTATGCTGATGGATATGCTGGGGTCCTGGGCATCAGCAAAAGGTCCAAGCCAATCAAACTCTTTTAATTGCAATGCACAGATGCCAATACTTCTCAGGATAACACCAGTGTAGTTTAGACACCAAATTATGTTCTCAGGCTAATTTGAAGACCAATTTCCCATTGATTTCAATAGTTAAGTACATTAAAATTATCTGGTATTTAGACAAACTAAGACTGGAAAGCAGAAAACATTTACCACAATGAGAAATAAAAGCATATTTTCAAAGCAGCAAAACAGCACATTTTTTAAACAACTAGTTTTTGTTAAAAACACAAACACAATAAAGGTACAGCATACAGTTAAGGATTTGTTAGCAAATTGTAAGGAGCGATACAGACCAGTTTCTAAGAAAGCACAGTTTAGACACAAACTCTTGCTATCTAAACTGTTACTTTGGGTATTCATACCTTTTCTGTGTCAATTCCTTTAGACATGGACCAGGTTGAGACAATATAATCCATGACTCGTTCACTAAGGCCTTTTGGGACTTGATATAATTTTAGGAAATCCCTCACGTTGTTCAGCATCTCGTGGTACCGGTTGGTGTTGGCATACATCTGCTGGAAAATGGTGGTGACRTTCCCAAAAATAGTTGCATAAAGAAGAGCTGGAAGAAAAAAAATAATTAAAAATAAATATGTATGCTGTAGTCAATGATAATCATAATTCAAGGATAATGTTAGAGAATTTTATGTTTGGTTACAAATTACTGCAAATATCTTGATGTAAACTGAGAATTTCTATTTAGTCACATCTGCTCACACACATTGTGCACAGAGTTGTTTACTGAATTTACTCATACAGCTCACACAGCCACCCCATGTGCATTAATTTACAAAATCAGCCACAATGTCCAAACATTTTTAAAGCCTAAATTTGACAAGGCATTTAAGATAAAACTTAAATGCACATGCCTTTTCTAGAGCAGGCTTGAACAGTGGTGGATTGAAAGATGCTCTTCAAGCCAAGGAAGTTTTAGGTGTTTTATTGCTTTACAATGTAATTACACTTGCAAACAAGCCCAAAATCACATTCTTACATTAGACATTATAGATTTTGAATAAAAGAGAAATATTCTGGTATCTCATGACACCAATGTGCTGCGCTACTTCGGCTCTTGACATTATCAAATACACAGAAATGTGCCTGTCATTTTTAATAATCTTTGCTCAGACATACTTTATAACAGAATTCAGCTATGAATTCCATATTGCTTTAAAAAAAAAATAAAACTGCAGCCTACAAATGCAGTAAGAAATAAGCCACTGTGAAAGGAAAAAATGYCTTTCATCACTCAGGGCACAAATGTCTTCCCTCTACACAACCCATTTCTACCTCATTCCAGAAATCTCACTTTGTTTCACACTAATTTACTATTTTTCATCACCCCTATGTGAGAGGTGGCATTTTTTAAAAGAAACACAGTGCTCTTATAAAACCTTCAAATGGAAGAATTGTACTTCCATTTCACACAGTGATTTTTTTTTTTATGTTCAGGTAGAAATCAGATGTCAAAGTTCATCACAAATACAGGATCGCACCAAACAAGGTCACACAGTGTATAGCAAAAATGAACACGAGGTTTCTGGTTTAGAAATCACAGCAGATTAATACTTTGTGTGATGTCCAGAAGTAAAGCTTGTTGCAAAGGTAGATTTTTTCCCTTGCTTTTCTGATTGCTGCATCATATCTGCAAGCTACTGAAAGATTTTCTCTCCCTCTGTACCYATTCAGACATATATCAATACTTAAGAGTACAAGCATATGGATTATAAAAATGTTTAGATRAATGCCACATGAATTTTTTATTTCTTTAGCTTTCTCTGCTGTTTTGGATTTTTGCAGCAGGACAAACTTGGTGAAGTATTGCTTCTCCTAAGTGCAACATCCCTCATCYTTCTGAGCAGCTGCTGATTTATCATGCACTCATCTCATCAGGTGTGTCAGGGCACAATGTCTTAGATCTGCAAATCACCATAAATGTATAGAGGAGCCCTAAATGCCCCCRAARYGCTGTCTTTCTGCAGGAGTAGGATYTCTACAGCCTCTAACTACAGCCAGATTTCATCTGCAAATCCAGTACCTGCACCCCAGCTGGCCATGCAGACCCACCCAGAGGACAYAGAAAATGAGTGAAAATGTGCCCTGCAAGACTGGCACAAAGAGATTCAACTCTGACACCTGCYAGGCTGGAAACAGTGAAGGATGCCAAGGTGGAAACAGCTCATCTGAAGCAACTGGCACCTATTACCTCATGCTGGCAGAGAGGATTTGTAGAAAATATACAGCCAGAACTGAAATTCAAGTTCTCCGTCTCCTAATATACAATCCTGGAAAGTTGTAGTTAAAAAAAGTATGTTTCTTGAGAAATTAAGGGTAGAATAAACCATTGGATCAAGCCCACAAAATCCCTGTAGACATATCCAGCAATCCCTCACTAAGGCRGAATCCACCAGCCTGTGGAGCATGCCCAAACTCAGCATCACCTCTCTGGAAATCAGAGCCTTCCTTTCAAACTGGAAATGGTAGAAATGGTTGAGTTYACCCAAATATTCCCCTTCTCTCACAGGTTACTGCATGGGGGATCTTTGACAAAGAGTAAAAGGGAACCTACTCAGATCTTCACAGCTTTGAAGCTGTGCCTCAAGGGCTCTCCTYGCTCGTGGTGCTCCCCATGCCCACACTGGTAGCTGCTGAGGCTGGATTGCAAGGTTTTGGAGAAGATTTTCCATAATTTGGCACGGAAAACCCACCTCTATCTGTAAATCTGCCCCCTATCCCTGTTCTCTGTACGAGAAAAGGAGGCCATTTACAGAAAGTTTATTTTTATTGTATTGCAGGTSTTGGTATGCAACCAAAGTTTGGAGCATCTGATGCTGCTGTTACCTTCAAAGGGTTAAGGCTCTCTATCCACAATTAGCAAGTGAAGATTTCTCAGAGAATCCCYATTTAATGAGCAAATCTTGAAGTGAGAAGTGTGAGTCTTACCTCTCACCTTTAAAAAAAAAAAGGCAGGGGAGTGCTACCAAGGGCATTTCACTTCTGCTGTATTTTAATTATTTTTGGCAGGTGGAATTGGCAGTAAAAAACATTCGCAAAAGATTCTGAAAGAAAATAAAACACAGTGCCCCTACTTATGGTAAAAGTATTTAAACAACCTCTAAAGAAATCGCTAAATATATTCATACACTTTAACAATTTTAATTTAGTCTCTCAGTTTACAATAAGCAGGAGAGATGAGGTTGAAGGTGAAATTACCCAATTTCATGATGGGACTACTTAGGTCAAACTGCATTTATTCACCTCCTCTTTGAATGACCTGAATTTCTCCAAACATTTCCCGTTACGTTCCTACAGTCATGCAATGCTCATTAAMTCAATTGTTCTATGTGTGTAAATCTGGAACAGTCTTCACTAAGTTTTATAGAGATAAATTTGATTTAATGATGCAGAAATATTTTTTCTCAGTCCTAAAGGTGAGGTAAGYGGTCCAACTATTATTTTAGTTTCTATTTTTACTCTTCAGTGTGAAAAATCTCCCCAAAATTACACACAAGAATCCAAGTACTATATATTTTTACATATAAAATCTGTTACTATATTTGTACTTAAACAAAACATTTCTGAATGGTTTAGTGATWGTGTTACATAAATGTTTTAGCCTGTTTAAAAAACTTTCTGGGGAAATAAAAAAATACTCAGAGTTACCTAAATAATCCCAAAGCATTTCAGATCTCTTATTATCCTGACTGTATGCTAAATACACCCAGATAAGAACATCTGCCTTAAGGAGCTGAAGGYTTATTGAGAAATCTGATTTTCCTTATGTCCTGCTCTACGCTAGAGTATTCTTAATCTAAGCATATACAGTGTTCCTCTAAACTGACCCTAACCCCATTCCCATCTCCCTGCAGGGCTGGTGGGAGGACGTAGAGCTGAAAAGGGGGAAAAGGTGGGAGAAAGGTGTTTTCAGGRTCTTATTTTACTTCTCATTATCCTGCTTTGATTTTGTCAGTACTAAATTCAGTGAATATCTCTAATTTGAGTCTTTTTGACTGTGATGGTACTTGGTGAATGATCTCTCCCAGCTCTTAACCCATGAACCTTTGTTATATTTTCACTCCCCTGTCCAGCTGYGAGGGGAATGAGGGAGAGGTTTTGAAGGGTGTCTGGCAACCAGACAGGGTCACCCACTATAATTTATTAAGTATAAACTGAGACAAGTCCAGTACCCAAATACCTGATTTATGACTTTAAAAGCTGACCAGTTTTCTGATATTTCTTTCCACCTCACCTCCATACATGTGCTCAGACTGCAGAATGTTTGCAGGCACTGTTTGCTGCAASCCCAGGCAGTGCCCATCTCCTACGTCAAACAGCCTCACTGAGCTGCTGCAGCAGCAAAAAGCCAACACTTCCCTCAGCAGAAATAGCTCTYCTCAAATCCACCARCACTTTTCAACCGAGTGTACTACTYGGGAGAAAATAATCCTGCTAAGYYCCYTCCCTCACCACTGTTTTATAGCACTTCTGTGATGCCAGCCCCAGCCTCCCACCTCGCCCTGCAGGGATGCTCCTGTCTGCCAGCTGTGCCAGTGAAAGCACCAACACAGCCCCGTGGTTCTACAGGTCTTCAAAAGGCCAGCCTTGATACTGAACCCTTGGCCCCAGCAAATATTTTGCTGGTAAAATACCCTCTCCCCATCGCACCAATGTTTTACATCAGTGTTCAATCAGTGTTTTAAAATACAGTTGCTCCYCATTTACWRGGAGGAGATGCCAACACCAGAGCRYGCTAGCTTTTAAATTTTTCTTCCAAAAGCATCCAAAGCAGCCAAAAAACTTTCCTCCAATTACCCCTGCAGGCAGATCATTGCATCATCCCATGCCACAGCCTCCAATGTATTATTTATCCTCCTGTGAGCCCCACCAATGCATTGTTGCACTTTGCAGAGGAGAAGAAAAACGGCAAAGCTCTGGGTTCAGCAGTGAAATTCAGCTCTGAGCTCCTCACCAAAACCATCTGAGAGCTGCACACGACTGTGCCTGGTCAAAAGCCCAGCATGATCCCAGATTCCAGGCTGATCCCATCACCTGGAGCCATCCAGGCATTCCCACACCCCACACTGCAGGCACAGATCCACAGCTCCTCTGTGGGTCCAGCTGACACCCACCCCTGCTCCCCTGACACTCCAGCAGTGCAAACTCTAAATTAAGAGATGGTGATAATAAAGATAGGGCTATAAAATCCCTGTTAACATTGATATTAGCTTGACAAGAACTAAATGWTTATGTAAATTAGGTGATTWTCAGCAGCAAACTGTAGGAACTCAMRCTSCCTGTTTGTCCCCTTGCAGGGGACACTGCACAGGCATTCCTTATGCATAAATTCTTATTAAAATGAGAGCTTTYAGCTGCACTTGTACAGTCACTAATTTTTAAATGGTGAACCTGGGGGGCTTTTTTTTTATCATGAGCACACTCAGCTAATGGAAAATACTTTAAAGCTCCAATGCTTCACCACCAGGCAGATGTGACGAGCTGAATTGCTGCATTTCTGCACAGAGCTGCAAGCCAAGCCTGGCTGAAATGGTTTGCAAAACACAA